TTTCATTGTTGCTACACTGCACCCTGACTGGCTCATCTCCTTCTCAAGGACTTTTTAAATAAGTACATGTGGGCACCTCAAGGCTCCATCCATGATTAATGCATGGTCTTGGCCTAATTCTCTGTCTTTCAGCTCCACGAGCAGATTATCTATTCCGTACATCATTATCTCCTGGCTCACCTCCCATCATTATCACCTGGCTCACCTGGACAAGATTGATAACCTCCACAAGTCAATCTGGGCAAGTTAATGTTACAAAGATTTCAGACTACATCCAAGAGTTTCCAGGGGTTTCGCATCTTTATGATTCTTTTACTGGATTGCCCAACTTGCTCTTTGGTATAAGATGAGTGTGTATCCTAGAAGAACTATGGTAAGAATATTTTTGGAAGGACCTGCCTTTAGATCCTTCTTTCTTTGTGTAAGGTATTCGAGAGGTGCCAGAAACCAAATCGGTCGAATTAGAGCAAACAGGCTTTACTGGGGAGAAAAACCCAGCCTGGGTGAAGTCCCACAGTCCACAATGTCCAGGCTGGGGGAGTCGCACTGCAGGCTACAGGGATGATGCTTATACATGGACAGGTATGTCCGGGTTTCTGGAATGTAAGGTGTCTTCCTGGTTCCGGGTGTATTCGTGCCGGGTGCAGAGCGGTGGGCGAGAACAAAGCGGGCGAATTAGAACAAACAGGCTTTATCAGGGAGAAAAACCCAGCCTGGGTGAAGTCCCACAGTCCACAATGTCCAGGCTGGGGGAGTCACACTGCAGGCTACAGGGATGATGCTTATACATGGACAGGTATGTCCGGGTTTCTGGAATGTAAGGTGCCTTCCTGGTTCCGGGTGTATTCATGCCGGGTGCAGAGCGGTGGGCAAGAACAAAGTAGGCACTGAGCTAAACGGGGGCCGTGCTGGGTGCAGAGTGGAAGGTCGCGAGCAAAGTGGGCACTGAGCCTAATGGGCCATGCTGGTGCTGGGTGCAGAGCGGCACGTTGAGAATAAAGTAGGCCATTAGCCAGCTCTGGTCAGCTCGCAAGTGTGTGTGTGAGATTCAAGGCTACTTGCTGCTAGTTGTTTCAGCTAGCTCTGGTCAGCTCTGCATGGGTGGGGGGGATTCAAGGTCACTTGCTGCTAGAAGCCGGCCTGGTATTGATCCAGTCATACACTTTGTAGAATGTCTAAGGCCTTATTTATATTTAAACTAACCTTATTCATTGTCTAAGGAACCCCGTGGCACTGTTAGGTTGGCAGTCAAGTCTACTTGCTGCTCCAAGGAAGGAAGAGGAGATTATCTGTTCTCATAAGGATTTATAAAGCTTCATACACCCGATGTAGGACTACTGTAAGTCGGTATCAATGCGATGGTAATGGGCTTTTTAGGATTTAGTATCTCTGGAGCAGTGGTTCTCAACCTTCCTAATGCCACGACCCTTTAATACACGTGCTCATGTGGTGGTGACCCCCAACCATAGAATTATTTTCATTGCTATTACATAACTGTAATTTTGCTACTGTTATGAATCAGGCAACCCCTGTGAAAGGGTCATTCGACCCCCAAAGGGGTCACGACCCACAGGTTGAGAACTGCTACTCTAGAGTGATGTTTTTAGTTTTTTGATTCTTCAGCTCCAGCTTTAAGATTCATTTTTATTTCTTGATATCCTTTCATCTTTAAGAGAACATGATACAGAATAAGTGACCCCCAAATTAGCCATTCTAATGCAGGGCTTTGAACTGATTCATCCTAGTTCAGTTCCATACGGTGAATTTGCATATCCACCCCAGATGTACAGAATCAGGATCATCCAAAGACATATAAAACTCACCTCAGTATTTTCTTAAAATGTATATTTTAATTCAATGTATCTGGGGTGGAAATTCAAATTCTCAGCAGTGGGCTGAACAGAAATGAACTTATTCTAAGCCCTATTCTAAAGTGGGCATTTTTGTGGGTTAGTATGTGAGTCTTGTAAAGAAGGAGAGAGAGATTTTTACTTTCCAGAAGTTTTTGTGCTCCATGCTTTCTTAGCTACAAGTGTTCATCAGATACACAATGGGTGAGGGGGTTAGGTTTTGAGGCCTCTAAGCCAGCCAATAAAGCCATGAAATCCACCACTGTGTCAATGCT